TAGACGTTCCAAACAGATGAGAATACTGCAAAAATATCCCAATGATAAAGATTTCGTTATTGGTGATAGTACTGATGGTAATGAAGCTGTTACTGGTACAGGTTTCAATATATACTAGCAGTACGAGTATGCCGCAAACGAGAAAGCAAAGGGGCACTCATCCTCTACTACCCGAATCTGACGCAACGCTGATGAAATATATCCAGAGTAAAGTTCTGATATGGTGAAATAAATAGATTACTAAATATTCTCGTCATCAGTAAAGGACGTCACAGTCTGGCGCCGTTATTATAACAACCCTAAATAATATAAGCAAAATGCATTTCACTTATCTTTATTAATTTCATATTTTTTAAGATATCCTATACGAATATAAATGTAAATTATTTGTTATATGCATATAAACCATGAGTTGCTTTGCGGAAATACTTAATAATGTGGTAGAGACAATGTTTAACTTATTATGGCTTTAGAACTAATGGTCGGGGAAGGAAAATAATGATGCTGTGTTTCGTACTGTGAGCGAAGAGAACCAGAGTTCCTTTTAGGTTTTTAGTCTTTGGGGGTCTGTGTGTGCGTGGGCCACTACATCTACTTAATATGATATTATAACAGATGGAATTATGTGTCCACGTTTGTCACCCATCATCACCATCGTCATTATTACAGCCCTTCACAAGTCCACTGCTAAAAATAGGCCTCCCCCAAGGAATGCCACTAAGCACGGTCCTGAACAACATGCATCCATCGACTTCCTGCATGTCTTACCAGGTCGTCACACCATCTAGTGAGGGACGCCCTACACTTTGCCTGCCGGTACGAGGCCGTCACTCGAGAAATTTTTTCCCCATCCGTTATCGGTTCTTCGAGCTATATGGCCGGCCCATTGCCACTTCAGCCCACTAATCCGCTGGGCTATGTTGGTTACTCTGGTTCTACTGCGGATAACCTCATTCCTAAGTTTATCACGCATAGAAACTCCAAGCATAGATCTCTCCATAGCTCGCTGACTGATTTTGAGTTTCCTTACACGGCTAGCAATGAAGGACCACGTTTCAGATTCATAGGTCATCACTGGCAACACGCACTGGTTGTACAATCGAGTTTTGAGATTTTGAGGTACGCCTGGCGAGAAGATGTGTTGCAATCTCCCGAACGCTGCCCAGACAAGTTGAATCCGTCGATTGACCTCTCGGTCGAAGTTGGACTTACCTAGTTGGACTATTTGTCGCAGGTAAACATATTCGTCAACAACTTTGAGCTTAGTGCTTCCAACAACCACCGGCATAGGTGTGACATGGACACTACACATTACTTTCGTTTTGTTCATGCTCATCTTAAGACCTATCCGCTAGGAGACACTATTGAGGTCATTGAGTATAGTGCTTAGGTCCTCCAGCAATTCTGCCATGAGGACTATAACGTCGGCAAATCAAGGGTGAGGGATGTACTCGCCATTGACGTTAATACCGTATCCTTTCCAGTTCAGTGGCTTGAAATCGTCTTCCAATGCAGCGGGGATTTTACGTCAACCTGTCTTACACCTCTCTGTAGTTAGATAGGTTTCGCACTCTGGTTCTGTACTCGGATAGCCATCGTAGCTCTACTGTAGAAACACTTCAGCACTTCGATATACCGACAGTCAACTTGGCACCGCTGAAGAGACTGCAGCACCGCCCAAATTTCGACGGAATCAAAGGCTTTCTCATAGTTCACATACGCAATACAAAGTGGCAGATTGTACTATTCGGACTTCTGTACAATCTGCCGCAGGGTATATATGTGGTCTATGGTACTGAAGCCTTTTCGGAAACCGAATTGTTTGGGAGGCTGGAAGTCGTCGAGTTTGCATGCGAGACGATTAGTAACGATTCTCGAAAACAGCACGTAGACGCGGCTCAGAAGGGAAATCCGTCTGTAGATATTCAAGGGAGCTTTGTCGCCTTTCTTGAAGAACAAGACCAACGCAATTCTGCTCCACGCCTCCGGAATAGTACAATCAGTGAGGACGGAATTGAAGAGCTTCTGAAGAACTTTAAGTATCGGTTTTCCAGCCGTTTTCTGAAGCTCCGCTGTAATTCTATCCTCGTCCGGGGAATTTCCCTTTTTAAGGTGCTGGAGAGCCATTTTAATCTCGCTCTGACTGCTGTCCAGGATATCATCGGAATAGTTTCAGATAAGACTTGCTCTTGCATCGTTACTCACGCTTGCGTGTGGCTCCAATGATGACGTGTACAGCTGCCCATAGAACCTCTCAATTTCACTCAGAATTTTAGGTGTACCGAAAACGATGCTGCCACTTCCATTCCATCATTCGGTCTTCAGCTTCGACAGTTGGCTCTTTCTGACATACAGATCTCTGGCAAAGACTTTGGAGCCCTGGTTCCGCTAAATCGCTTCTTCAATACGAACTGTATTAAAGTTGCCTAAGTCCCACCGCATGCATTTAGAGATCTGTCTGTTCAGTTGCCTGTATGCGGTGAAATCTGCTGACGACTGCAGCTTCATCTCCCGTCTAACAGCCATGAGATTAAGAGTGTGATCGGAAAGTTTTTGTGTTCTTCTGCAACGAGTCTTACATAAATTAGCTTCGACCGTATGGACAGTTTCCACGAGCTTATAATTTATATCGTCCACTTCATTGCAGTTTTTAGGCACTGAAAACGATTTTGTAATTCCAGCTGAAAGTTTTTGGGACTTTGGATTAGAGCACGAGGGGAACGGAGCGTGGACTTCATTAGACGTGACCTCTCCAACTTCACGTTTAGGTTCAGTGTGCCTCTCACCATTCGGTGATTGCTGCCAGTTTTTACCCTTGCGATCACTGAGACATCACTGAAAATTTGCCGTCTAGTCATCATAATGAAGTCAATCTCATTTTCGGGGCTTGACTAGGTCCACTTTCTGTGGGGCCGCTTTTTGAAGAAAGAGTTCATTATAAGGAGTTCCTCTTTCTTCATAATGTTGGCCAGCTACTGGCCTCTAGGGTTTTGTTGCCCTATTCCGAATTCCTCTACTTTCAGCTTACCGTCCTCTCTGTGCCTAGATTTGCGTTGAACCCCATTAACCCATTGTCCCGTTGTCTCCCATTAATACCGTATAGTGGGTTTGGGAGAAATGTATGGCTCTAGAGATATCCTCGTACATTGCCACTACCTCCTGATCGGGGATGATGTGCGTAAACCTGTATGACCTTTAGCGAATAACCTTTGGTGGTTCTGTGTATAAGGTATGCAACCCTCATCGACACACTCCCAATCTTCACAACGTTGTTAACGAGAGACTTGTGGATGATAAAACTGACACCTCCTTGGACAGATAGTCGCCCTCCCGGTGATAGAACAAGTTGCCGGATGTGAGAATCACCGTCTCTCTTCGAATCTCAGATAATCCTATAGCACCCCAGCGCAACTTGTCTATCTTTTCTTCCAGCTCCAGAATCTTCTCGTCAGACAACAGGGTGCGTGCGTTATACGTTGCCAGGTCGAGTCGTTTTAGGTGGCAGCCGATCCTCCACCGGAGATTCTTAGCACCCCCTGCCTCGCCGTTACCATGATCGCCACCGTAGCCAGGAATAGGGGAGGCCGTAGGGGACTGGGGGCCGTTTTTTTGTGTTGTTTCTCATGGGGGGTATATTGCCATAGTTACCACGCTTGGCGAGTGCAATCGCAGTTTTTTATTGTTTTTTGCTGTTATCAGAAAGATGCTTCTGCCCATTTTCTGTCCTAGTTTCCCTCAGTCGCCTCTTACGACACCCACGAGAAGATATGGGGATGGTCACCCATACTTCTACAAAAAAGTTAAAGTAAAAGTAAAGTTAGAGCTAGTATACGTCTAACTGCTGGGGTGAGATGGTTAAGGTAAGGAAATATCCACTGCGCTGCCTTGGTTCGACTTGTCGGATTTCACATGTCTTCCGAAATATATTTTTTTAATTTCTTAGACATGCAGGTTTCTTTACGATGATTTCTATCTCCGCTGAGCATATGGTAAATCAGCACTTAAAATTACAATTACATTAGTGCCGGGGAGGATTGAATCCAGGTTACGTGTATTGTGATACAGGACTTTAAATGCTTATCCATATAATTATCACAGATTTATTTAAAAATATTAAAGATTTGTCTTAGCTTTCATAGGTTGTACACATCAATTTATTTTTGCACCGGATCTTAGCTAACTAATTTTCAAATCTTTAACTTTAAATTCCGTAACTGGTTCAAGTTACTTTATGCACGGTTTTAAAATAAAATTCTCAAATAAATATTTTTAGTATTTATCATAATACTTTTAATAAACAAGAGTACTTAACTTTCCTATTATTAGAACACTTAGATAGTATATGCTTCAAAGAAAAGAAACTAATTTATACGCACCCGTTACCTTCGGCCATTTGACTAATTTAATTAGCATTTGTTAGGTTTTGAAATAACGACTCCTTTAAAGTTCGCAATGATTCATCGTTTAGTTATTGGCTCTGTGTAGTACTTAAACAGAAGATAGAAGGCATACTGATGACGTTAGTAGAAAGGGTTTTTATTGTTTTTATGTCGTTTTTATGTTATGCGTTTTTTATGTTGGTTTTTACGTTTGGAAATGTTATCGGTTAGTGCACATACCTACTTCACATGTTACTTCTTATTTGATGTTTATAATTCGAACTTTCTGTTGTAAAGTACCATAGCTTTACCCACACTTTAATCATTGCAATCCTAATATGTAATTTCTTAGACAAAAAAATCTTTATTTAATTGCATAATAATAATAATTTTTCCTTATCTTAAGGAATATTTACGATAAAACGCCAGTGCCAACGGAGCTTTTTAATATTTCTATTTTGTAAGTAATTTGATTCTGTCTAGTTTTTTTTTTCTAGTAGCAATCGTCTAATGTTCGACATAAACTTGTTTGTTTCAAATAAAGTTGCATATTTAATCTAATTTTAATGTAACCTATATATTTTGTGGTTATTATGAAACATTAAATGGAAAATATTTTACCTGCGTCTTGTCATCCTTGCTGACATCAAAGCAGACTAGATCACATCTAGTTTTTGATAACGGATCTGTTTGTAGTCTTGAATATCTTCGAACTTTAGATAAAACGATGGGAGCAACACATAATAATACTATAAACATTTTGGCTGGCATCTTGCTCGTCATAAAATTTTACGACAAGTCAAATTATAAGTCTCTAAGATATGTTTCCGTGAGGTTTGTAAAAAATAAACGCTTTTTCAGTCTGACCAATGGTAATAAAGCATGTAATTAATGATGATATATCTCAGTTGTAGTTTGATCCTCCGTGATTTGTTTTGTTAATAATATGGGAATTGTTTAGTGGTACACTCGATACAAATTATTGTTATACGAGTTTATTGAAGTAGCACTGCGAGTGCGTGTGCGTCTGTTTATATTTTGCAAAATTACTAATGAAGTATGCTCGGCTCTACATTATTTCGACAATTATGATTAAAATTACGTTGAAATCTTTTTAAGCTTCAAATGTATGGTATGGAATTAAAAAAAAGTTAATTGACGCTAACTCCTTTTAATAATGTTCTCGTGTATAATAATATTTATTTATGTAAACAAATTTTTAAATTTAATACCAGGCTGTGGTCTGGATCAAAAATTTCCTTTTAATTTTTAGTCTTAGGATTATGAACAAGTATAACTTTCAAATATGATACACTCTTAGTAATAAAACATATCACTTCAAATGGTTACAACCACTTATATGAACAATCGAATAAGAATCTCAATTCCAAATTTCGTTTTAACTGAAACTTGCATTTTGAATTTTGAATGTGTGTCATTGACCCGGAGCTTTGACAGGAAACAAATAAAAACTTGGCAGTGGCGGGAACGTACGCGTCGTTTGAAATGCGCGGTAGGACTGACATGCCTGTACGCATCGTTAGCGATTCGTGCCTCTGCTTCATTAATACACATTGGTGATGCTTTCCTGCATGTACGGCGTTGACGGAAGGTTGCTTTTACCCGACCGGTTTCCTAATTAAAAAATGAATAGCGTCTTCCTGTTGCACTAGCATAGTTCAACGTGTTGGCTTTTTAGATTGTTGTTATTATCACCTTTGATGCATTTTTATAGTATGACCGCATAAATACAGCAATCAATGATAAAGAAAGTGAATGGAAATATTTTCTTTTGTTTAAAAAAATAAAAAAAAATAAAAAAAAAGAAAAATCTTTAAGGTTTTTCGTTTTTTTTTTTTTTTAAAGTGGGGTTCTTCGGAATGTAACAGTAAAGAATATAGAGTGCACCTATACCTTTTAAAGTCGAGCACTACTCGTATAAGCCAGCCTTGCGTAGATGGCTCGTCTCCGTTGAAATTCGATGCCGTTTCCGAAATTCATAATATAAATTATACAAGTTTGTACAAAAAAAAAAGAATTTAATTATAAATATTAATCGTAACAGTACCTACATATCACTGTCGTAAATAGTAGCCTATAAATTATTTGTCGTTGCATATTTTATGCTTAAAAATAGTTTATTACTTTAATAAATGATATAACAGTCCCTACTTTTAATTAAATAATTTATTGTGTTGCTTTTTTTATAGAATAAGGGTTAAAAATAATCACACAGTCCACCTAATGGTAAGTTGTTGCTGTGGCCCATAGACATCCACATCTATCTTCCATTAAAAATCAAAATGCAGATGCGTCGTCACACCTGACTACAATGGAATGACTCGTTTACAATGAAAAGGTTCTCCGGTTCTCTACACTCAGCATATGAAACACAGCAACATTAAACTGCTCTGTACGCCGGTATTCTGTAAGAGCGCGGTCTTTTCCCGATCACGACGTTCCATTCGTTTTACAACTATAATATAGCTGCAACATGGCTCTACCACTTAAAAGAACTTCAAAACTTGCTTATGGTAATGAAAACTAGGTAATATTGAAAACAAAACGTTTTATTTTCTATTTTCCCTGTGTAGTACCTAACCATGAAATTAAAAGGTATTTTTATTTTTATTTTTGTATTAGAATGTACCCAAAAGAGAAACGCATTTATTTATATTATTATTCTTTAATGTTCACCAAAAAATAAATTTATAAAGAAGTGTAGTACCTATTAAAGGTCTTCACTATGAAGTTGATTTATTTCTAATAACTTTTGCATACAGAACTGCGTATATATTTAAAACATGTATTTTCACATAATATGACATTTGACTGCCCATAAATGTTAAAAAATATTTTATAAAACTAAGGCGCAAAAATTAAATTTTATGAATTACCTAGTTTTAAGATCACATTCCTTCCTCTAACATTACTACTAGGCTCAACACCACTACATTCACCACAACTCTAACCTCTACATTTAGATATACACCCTTTCATAATAATACGACACGTATTTTAAATAGGCTCTGCGTTGGCTAACCGCTAAGTAAATTGAAAAAGAACAAATTAAGTTCTCCTTACTTAGCTATAGCCTTCGCAGAGCCAATTTATTATACCTACTGGCTTTCTCACTCTTCAATGTTAAAATAAGTCGGAAATCTAAACTATTATGATTCCTATCACTTGAACGGCATAAGAATATATAACATAACATAAACACTCACGCCTCTCACTCAGAGGGGTAGGCAGAGATTACGGACTTCCATTTGGCACGATCCTGACACACCATATTTCGCCTCCTTTACATCTATATATCTACGCACACATGCTCGTCGGTTAAGGGTACTTCTAATGTGGCCCATTTTCAAAATATCGCCAATTTGGTCGATAAACTTTCTTCTAGGGCGTCCCTTCCCGACTCTGCCGTTCACATCTGCCATATAAATTTGCTTTGTCATTCTTTCCTCATTCATTCTTTCTACACGACCAAACCACCGAAGCATTCCTTCTTAATCCTGGTCACAACATCATCTTGCATACCACATTTATACACAGAACGGCATGACAATCCTTATAATTTGCACGGAGGAGATAATCCTCTTGTTTTTCGAAATTATTATAATGCTAATAAATTGGAAAAGACATAAATCTAAGTCTCTTCCAGTGGTTGATACAGCCCAATAAGTACGAGGAACAGATCTACCTAATGGTTATGTTTAATGGTTTAGTTTAAATTTCCTCTTGATTTGGTAAAACATGGTAGAGCTATGCTGCAGCTATATTGTGGTTGCAACACGAATGGGTCGGCTCGACCACTAGCGTATAATAGCAACTTAATGCTGTTGTGTTTTGTATGGTAAGTGTGGAGAACCGGAAACCCTTTTTATTAGAACCTAGGCATTCCATCTCAGCCCTCAGGGGTGACAACGCATCTACATTTTGATTCTTAATTGAAGATAAATGTAGGTTGTATAGGCCACAGCATCCACTTACCATCAGGTGGAATGTGTGCTCGTTTGTCACCCCTTTTCGATAAAAAAGTATATAAATAGTTAACATGAATCATAAGCAAAATAATAAGTAATCTTTATCACTATCATCACCACAGCCTTTCACAAGTCTATTGCTGAACACAGGCCTCCCCCAAAGAAAGCTATAAAGGTCGGTCCTGATCCACCTGTATTCATCGACTTCCTGTAAGTCTTACCAGATAAATTATCACAAAAATATTAATTACTAAATTTTATAATATACATGCAAACATATTTGCAATATTTTTGTACTTATGTTATAATTTTATGTTATTTATTATTTATTGTCCCCTAATCACGAAAAAATCCGTTGGTAGTCTTTAGATATTCAACAATTTGAATTAGATATTTATTATTTGTCACTTGAAAATATATTTCAAATCGAATTAAAATAATTTTTAACTTGTTGCATCGATTAAAAGATAGAGGGAAAAGCATTCTTCTATTATTTTTATTAACAAATCTTACCTATGCCTGAAAATACTCGCACACAATTGAATGTATGCATTGTGCATCAGGATCACTAATTAAACTCTCGAAGGGCATCCGGCGCACGCGCAGAGAAGCAATCAACCGGTCGTTGAATCTTCAGCTCCTTTGTGAGGCATATATCTTTGCCATTTTGTTGTCCTTCCTTTTTGTTTTCATTGAATGACTGTGGCTAATTAGATGAACTCTTTTGTTGTTGTTCCTTGATTTGAGAAATAACTTGATATTATATCATTTTGTTTGATTTATACACGTAAGTTAATAAAAATGTAATAGAAGTTTGTAACATTACTTTCAATAATACAATTTAGGGCATATATTTTAATAGTCAGAATAATGTTACCATTAATTAAATTATAACCTAACTGAACATAAAAGTGAAGTAATAGAACTATTTTATTTATACAGCTGTAATTTTAATTTGTGTGTGTTATATTGTATTCCATGAATAACTCTTATCTGATGATAAAAATCTCCCTAAGAATGTAAGAGACTTATGGCAAGGGACATTTATTGCGCAAGTATTTATTATACAGAACCAGTTTTACATAATTAATCAATGACAAGGAGCACAAAAATGAGAAGCCTGTGCCTGTGACGTATATAGGTTGTAACTATAACTTTTTTAACTTTAATGAGCACAAATTTTCGCGTTTTATTTTTAATTCTAATTATCACACTCACTAACGTCACTTTCACTGGTGCTCTTTAAAATATTTTCTTTAGTAGTAATTTCGTGTGATATATAAGCTTACCATATAATATATATATATATATATATATATATATATATATATATAAGCTGCTAAGTAGCGACTGAAACCTATAGCTATAGCCTGCAGCCAACTCCAAACGAAAAAATCGAACAGGTGCGTTGTCAATTCTTGTACATGCTAAGAATATCTTATAAACATTCTACTTTCGAAGAGTACGGTAGCAAATATAAATATATACAGGAAAACGGCAGTGGGTACAGTGCTGCATAACAAGAAGTAAGTGGGAAGTCAGTAAGTACCTATCCAGAAATACCCTGGACAGAAAAGTGACCTTTTTTATTTCTGTCTCTGATAAAACTCATCTGTCAAAGGCCATAAGATTTTCTAGCATTTCTTATAATCGGTTGCATCTTCCGACACCTACGACGCGTTAGTTTTGGTTTTATATGATGATGATGATGATGACTGCGTTTACCATTAACAGGTTTGGGTTCAGGGGCTTCAACGCTGAGACATCCAAAAATATTCAGAT